TGGGTGTAGTGCTTAACGCTACGCTGCGCTACCAACCCGGCGAACCCAGTTCCATTCCCGCTCACGGCCACCACCGGTGACGATTTTTTGAACCTCCCCTAGGTCCACTCAGCCTCAAACGAGCAACTGGTGTGGCGTATTAACATCGGCACTTGGGAGACAAAGGCGGCTGGGCGTGGTAGATCCAAGTCCCGGGCGAAGCCGGGTCATGTGTATGTGTTTATGTGTATGTCTGTGTGTCTGTATGCATGTGTGTATGTATGTGTGTGTATGTGTTTGTGTGTATGTCTGTGTGTGTATGTATGTCGGTTTTGCCGCCGTGGTGGATCCAAGTCCCGGGCGAAGCCGGGTCATGTGTATGTGTTTATGTGTATGTCTGTGTGTCTGTATGCATGTGTGTATGTATGTGTGTGTGTATGTGTTTGTGTGTGTGTCTGTGTGTGTATGTATGTCGGTTTTGCCGCCGTGGTGGATCCAAGTCCCGGGCGAAGCCGGGTCATGTGTATGTGTGTATGTGTTTATGTGTATGTCTGTGTGTCTGTATGCATGTGTGTATGTATGTGTGTGCATGTGTTTGTGTGTATGTATGTGTGTGTGTATGTATGTGGGTTTTTTTGTATGTGTTTATGTGTATGTCTGCGTGCCTGTATGTATGTGTGTATGTACGTCTGTGGATGTGTTTGTGTGTATGTATGTGTGTGTCTATGTATGTGTGTGTATGTGTTTCTGTGTTTGTATGTGTGTGTATGTATGTGTGTTATGTGTCTGTCTGTGTGTCTGCATGTATGTGTGTGTGTATTGTGTATGTGTTTGTGTGTGTTTGTGTGTTTACGCTCGCATTACACAAATGTATAATGCGGGTCTAAGGCGTTCCTTACACAGCATTGCCGCTTTATTATTTCAGTCGTTTACTGCCGTATGCACCCTGAAAGTCGTGTGTGTCTGCAGCAAGCGCGTGTATGTGTACCTATGGACGCGCGCGCGTGTGTTGTGTAGGGGGAACGGTAGTGTAGTGCTTAGCGTGCTGCCTGTGTCTGTGTGTGTGTGTCTGTGTGTGTGTCTGTGTGTGTGTCTGTGTGTGTGCGTGTGTGGTGTGTGGGGAGCGGTAGTGTAGTGGTTAGCGTGCTGTCTGTGTGTGTGTTTCTGTCTGTGTGTGTCTGCGTGTGTCTGTGTGTGTGTCTGTGTGTGTGTCTGTGCGTGTGTGGTGTGTGAGGAGCGGTGGGTGTAGTGCTTAACGCTACGCTGCGCTACCAACCCGGCAAACCCAGTTCGATTCCCGCTCACGGCCACCACCGGTGACGATTATTTGAACCTCCCCTAGGTCGACTCTGCCTCAAACGAGTAACTTAACTACTGTAGCGTATTAACATCGCCACTGGGGAGACAAAGGCGGCCGGCCGTGGTAGATACAAGTCCCGGGCGAAGCCGGGTAGTACAGCTAGTCTATATATATAAAATCGTTCATGTCTGTCTGTCTGTGTGTGTGTGTGTGGACTTTGGCCCATACGCACTTTCATTGGACGGCGGTTGCCCCTGGCAACGGCTAGCCACGCCTTCGCCGCTTTCATTGGACCTGGCAACGGCTAGCCACGCCGTCGCCAAGGGCTGCAGTTTCATTGGACGGCGGTTGCCCCTGCCAACGGCTAGCCACGCCTTCGCCACTTTCATAAGCTCCGTATTTAATTAAATAATAGCTATTACACAGTATTGTTGAAGCGCTAGGGGGGGGGGAAGGAACGCCACCCGTACCCTGCCTCTTCCAAGCCTACAATTTTAGGCGAGGCCGCAGGCTTTGCACGCTACTAGGCCTCGACACCCACCACGCCACTCTGAGGTAAATTCATCAAAGTTTTTCCTACTCTTCACTACACCCCCACCACAATGTGTGCTATTAATATTACTTTTAAACCCAACGCGCCAACAATCGATTACTTTAATGTTCACTGTACAAATACTCATTAAGCTGGGTGAGCGTACTGCCAGTCTATCATGTACACTGTAGCCTGCTTATTAAGCTCGGTGAGCGTACTGCCACTCTATCATGTACACTCTAGCCTGCTTATGAAGCTGAGTGCGTGTACTGGCAGTCTATAATGTGGACTCTTGCCTGGTTATTATAATCGATTCTTTATATGTTCTTTGTACAAACAGTCATTAAGCTGCTTCAGCGACCCCAGTTCGATTCCAACTCACGCCCACCACCGCTGACGATTATTTGAAACGGACCTGGCCCTCCCCTAGGTCCACTCAGCCTCAAAAGCGTAACTGCTGTCGTGTGTGAACATCGTCACTGGGGAGACAAAGGCGGCGGGGCATCGTGGATCCAAGTCCCGGGCGAAGCCGGGTCATGTGTATGTGTGTTTGTGTTTATGTGTATGTCTGTGTGTCTCTATGTATGTGTGTATGTATGTGTATGTATGTGTTTGTGTGTATGTGTGTGTGTATGTATGTGGGTTTTTTTTATGTCTTTATGTGTATGTCTGCGTGTCTCTATGTATGTGTGTATGTACGTGTGTGCATGTGTTTGTGTGTATGTATGTGTGTGTCTATGTATGTGTGTGTCTATGTATGTGTGTGTATGTGTGTGTATGTATGTGTGTTATGTGTCTGTCTGTGTCTGCATGTATGTGTGTGTGTATTGTGTATGTGTTTGTGTGCATGTATGTGTGTGTTTGTGTGTATGTGTATGTCTGTGTGTATGTGTTTGTGTGTATGTGTGTGTATTTATGTGTGTGTATGTGTTTGTATGTGTTTGTGTGTTTACGCTCGCATTACACAAATGTGTTGCTGGTCTAAGGCGTTCCTCGCACAGCATTGCCGCTTTATTATTTCAGTCGTTTACTGCCTTACGCACCCTGAAAGTCGTGTGTGTCTGCAGCAAGCGCGTGTATGTGTACCTATGGACGCGCGCGCGCGTGTGTTGTGTAGGGGGAACGGTAGTGTAGTGCTTAGCGTGCTGTCTGTGTCTGTGTGTGTGTGTGTCTGTCTGTGTCTGTCTGTGTGTCTGCGTGTGTCTGTGTGTGTGTCTGTGTGTGTGCGTGTGTGGTGTGTGGGGAGCGGTAGTGTAGTGCTTAGCGTGCTGTCTGTGTGTCTGTGTGTGTGTGTGTCTGTCTGTGTCTGTCTGTGTGTGTCTGTGTGTGTGTCTGTGCGTGTGTGGTGTGTGAGGAGCGGTGGGTGTAGTGCTTAACGCTACGCTGCGCTACCAACCCGGCGAACCCAGTTCCATTCCCGCTCACGGCCACCACCGGTGACGATTATTTGAACCTCCCCTAGGTCCACTCAGCCTCAAACGAGTAACTGGTGTGGCGTATTAACATCGGCACTTGGGAGACAAAGGCGGCTGGGCGTGGTAGATCCAAGTCCCGGGCGAAGCCGGGTCATGTGTATGTGTTTATGTGTATGTCTGTGTGTCTGTATGCATGTGTGTATGTATGTGTGTGTATGTGTTTGTGTGTATGTCTGTGTGTGTATGTATGTCGGTTTTGCCGCCGTGGTGGATCCAAGTCCCGGGCGAAGCCGGGTCATGTGTATGTGTTTATGTGTATGTCTGTGTGTCTGTATGCATGTGTGTATGTATGTGTGTGTATGTGTTTGTGTGTGTGTCTGTGTGTGTATGTATGTCGGTTTTGCCGCCGTGGTGGATCCAAGTCCCGGGCGAAGCCGGGTCATGTGTATGTGTGTATGTGTTTATGTGTATGTCTGTGTGTCTGTATGCATGTGTGTATGTATGTGTGTGCATGTGTTTGTGTGTATGTATGTGTGTGTGTATGTATGTGGGTTTTTTTGTATGTGTTTATGTGTATGTCTGCGTGCCTGTATGTATGTGTGTATGTACGTCTGTGGATGTGTTTGTGTGTATGTATGTGTGTGTCTATGTATGTGTGTGTATGTGTTTCTGTGTTTGTATGTGTGTGTATGTATGTGTGTTATGTGTCTGTCTGTGTGTCTGCATGTATGTGTGTGTGTATTGTGTTTGTGTGTGTTTGTGTGTTTACGCTCGCATTACACAAATGTATAATGCGGGTCTAAGGCGTTCCTTACACAGCATTGCCGCTTTATTATTTCAGTCGTTTACTGCCGTATGCACCCTGAAAGTCGTGTGTGTCTGCAGCAAGCGCGTGTATGTGTACCTATGGACGCGCGCGCGTGTGTTGTGTAGGGGGAACGGTAGTGTAGTGCTTAGCGTGCTGCCTGTGTCTGTGTGTGTGTGTCTGTGTGTGTGTGTCTGTGTGTGTGTCTGTGTGTGTGTCTGTGTGTGTGCGTGTGTGGTGTGTGGGGAGCGGTAGTGTAGTGGTTAGCGTGCTGTCTGTGTGTGTGTTTCTGTCTGTGTGTGTCTGCGTGTGTCTGTGTGTGTGTCTGTGTGTGTGTCTGTGCGTGTGTGGTGTGTGAGGAGCGGTGGGTGTAGTGCTTAACGCTACGCTGCGCTACCAACCCGGCAAACCCAGTTCGATTCCCGCTCACGGCCACCACCGGTGACGATTATTTGAACCTCCCCTAGGTCGACTCTGCCTCAAACGAGTAACTTAACTACTGTAGCGTATTAACATCGCCACTGGGGAGACAAAGGCGGCCGGCCGTGGTAGATACAAGTCCCGGGCGAAGCCGGGTAGTACAGCTAGTTGTGTTTTAAAATAACACAATAACACAATTATTGTGTTTTATTTTTATCATTGTATTACTTCCCTTCTACGTGACTTTACCGAAAGAACCAAGAAGATATTTAGTGTGTTTACCAAATTCGAAAAAAAATGTCTCTTCTTGTTATGATGGACTAAGTTGACTACGGACAAAGATGTCAATTCACAACCTTTCAATTTTTAGTCATTGCTTTCTGACCACAATGCTACCTGGCCAGACAAAAGTAACATCTTTCTGGCACCTTATTCAAACACGTATTGCCTGTAATGAATGCAATGATCAACGAACACCTGCTGAATACTTACAAGAAGGTGATGACACACAACACTGCTAACTTGCTATTCTGTGTATATTTTCCACAGGAAACTGCTCAAGTCCACGCTGGTCCTGATGCCATTGTTTGGTGTCCACTACGTGCTATTTGCAGCCATGCCCTACACAGACGTGATAGGCTTGGCGTGGCAGATCCAGATGTACTACGAGATGACCTTCAACTCTTTCCAGGCAACTGCTCTGCAAATTAATACTTCATTAAATCATTGCCACTCGTATGAATCATTCATGTTCGAACTTTACTATTTCCCATTTTACTAAGTAAAGGAATGTAAGCACTATAATGCCTTTACTGATTGTTACAGGGATTTTGTTTTCCAGCCATGTTAAAAACACCAACATTTTACAAACATTTCATGAGCACGGTTGGCAATGTACAGCGCAAAATAAGTTCAGCATACATGCATACATACCCTCCCCAATCAACTACAGCTGTTCTCCATAATACCGTTTTTTTGGGTTAGATCGCGTAAATATGAATGTGTTGTTAAACCCGCCACCACCCGACAGCCAATGAGTAAGGTTTGTCACGTAAACAAAACATGCCAAGTCGTTACAGCTGTTCTGTTTTTTCCATAGCGCCAGGTTGCGTCTCGTTTGCTTTTTCTACTTGCCTATGGTTTTAATTTGCTCCTTCAGGGATATCATTGTTTACATTTATATGGAAAGCTACATATTATTAGACTCCTTAACTTTTCAAATAAACGTAGTGTTAACTTATTTGGGCTTCTGTTCTATTTCTTTGTTAGTTTCCACATATAAATGGGTACAACCAGTTAGTCGATTTGGCAGCTCGCGTTTGGTGGGGCAGTGTGGGTACTGGCTTCTTCCTCGACAATTGGTCAGCGTGGAAAAAAAGGCCAAAACACCCTCTAAAGCAGGGGTCGGGAACCTTTTTGACTGGGAGAGCCATAAAAGCCAAATATTTCTAAATATATTTCATTGAGAGCCATATAGTATGTTTAACGTATAATAAATTAAATATGTCTTACTTTTAATGCGACTTCTGGTGCTGCATGGTTTTGCTGATGGCCTTGTAGTCTGGTTCATACGTGGTGAGGTTGAGCTTCGTGCAGGCGTGACCCGTGAAATTTATCTTCAAAACGAATTTCTGTTTACTTTAAAATGACACAGTATTATTCAGCAATATCACAAGTATTTTAAAATCAGTTCCAAACCGATTTTTTTTTCAACTCAAAATTGTCTGGGAGCCATATGCCGTCACTGGAAGAGCCATATATGGCTCGCGAGCCATAGGTTCCCGACCGCTGCTCTAAAGGGCTCTCTTCGGCTCCATAAAGTGAAGGCCCTTCTACCAGCAACAGTGTGAGCACCTTTATCGTGTCACCTATTCTTTGAATACAAGTGATATTTATATTTTTACATCAAATAAACTCACCTAGAGCCACATTAATTGTTTAAAATTAAGTCTCAGCGCCCAAGGCTGATAGTGGCAATCGACAGCAGCTTCTTGAGAACGCTAACAGGAGTGGGCTAAATATCCTGCAATCTGTGAGTTTGCCTTGCTTTTGCTTCTCATGACCAAGGCAACGGCGAATATGCTTCTTACAATAAGTGCACTCGAGACTAATAAGCACTGCATGTTCTGCGAATGTAAACAAAAAAGGGAATTGTGAAAAAACCCATTATTTTCTTTTGCAGGGATTTTTCGTGGCAATAATATATTGCTTTTGCAATGGCGAGGTAAGACCCTTTGTATTGTTCTGTATGTGTGCTTGTGTTTTCAAAACCTATGAACATTGTTCGCTCATAAATCAAGAACACTGCATCCATATCAATGCCGTTAATGCATCAGAGCCACATTTTTGTATACATCATGTCTTCCTTTCCACCATGATGTTAAGTTCATGTGTTTGCCATTTCATCGATGCATGCAATTTATGTTGATGTGCATCTGAGCATCAATGTAACAAGGTGGAATATTGAATGACGCGGAAGTGTATATTTCTGAGAAATGTGCTCGTGGAGAGCATAACATTTTTACAAACGTAAAGCAGTGTCATTGCTGTGATGCAACAAATGTGTGGATGACGTTGGTGGATCAAACAGAGATGACGCTATGATATGTACGAGTTTTCAGCATGCTGGGCGACTAGGCGTCAACAGGGGCAGCACGGCAAGTATGTTTTAGAGAGGTTATCTAAGAATAGGGTTATTCTAGAGGTGCATTACACGTTCCTCATCAGGCTGACCAGAGGTTTCATCTAACCGAACACTGATAACTCGAACCATTAAATGTCGCAAGAACATTGTATCGTGTTTAAATATGTTTGGATATTATCTTGTACTGGTAGGAACCTCCTGGTTACACCAGCCCACAGGTGATTATTGTGTCCGTCCGTCCGTCGTGCAGGGAGGGGCTGGGTGGGAGGGAGGGGCTGGGAAGGGAGGGGAGGGTGGGGAGGGGCTGGGTGGGGAGGGTGGGGCTGGGTGGGGGGTGGGAGTGGTGGGGCTGGGTGGGGAGGGGCTGGTCACCCCGTGGTGCCCTTATAAAACTCAACGTTTAACCTACTCAAGCCGGCTTGTGCCCGCCCTCACAGTCGAGCATATTTGCGGAATACACCACGCCGCCGTTGACCCTGGCCATTGACCGAACAACCCAACGTTCCTACCAGCTCCCTCCGCAGGAATGTGTTTTATATTGCCCACATACAATCACTACATGTATACTACATTGCACTCTTCCTTTACAAATCAGTATTGTGCGTATTTGAATTCAAAGCCAAATATTTATTTAAATGTATTTTTTCAATAAAATTACACATCTCTCTTTCTTCCCTTTTACTCCATCTATGCTCCTCAATGTCCATATATGTTCCTGGGTTCGATTTCTGCTCACGACAAATACCAGTGAAGATTTTCTGAACTGGTATTGGGCCTCCCCTAGGTCGACTCAGCCTCAAATGAGTACCTGGTGCAGTGTGTAAACATCGCTACTGGGGAGACAAAGGCGGTCGGGCGTGGTGCTAGCCACCCAACCCCTCATGTACTGTTCCGGCCTTCATAGGTGCTCGCTAACAGCCCTTGCCCCTGCAGTCTGTTAAGGCTATAGGAGGATCTTTGTCTTTTGCCTGTTTATGTCTATCACCTTATCTATCTCTGTCTCCCTCTGTCTCTCTGGAGTCCTCTGTCTCTATCGTTCTCTTTGTATCACTCTATCAGTGTCTTCCTCTGCCTCTATCTGGAGGTCTTCTTCTATCTCCCCATGCCTCTGACTTTTTGTCTGCCTGTCTCTCTACTCCTGTCTCCCTGTGTCTCTCTGATTTTTGGGGAAGGGGTAGAGTGGTGTGCCAATAATTGACGAGTCGTACAGTCTTGTTCGTCACTCCTACGCCAAACGCCACTATCATCACCATAAAAATAATCACCACTACTATCATCTTCACTACTGTGCTTATCATCATAATCAACAATACTATGATCTATCTCTATAACCACCACAATCGCTAATGTCCTCAGAACCACCACCTTAAGTCAGCTCATGCACCATTGTCATACAATATCTATCACCATCAGCCAATTGCCTATCATTGTCATCCAACATCAATCAGTGTATATGATCACCATCATCTTACTTGATTTAATGCATTGGCGACGCCAAGAGGGTGGTGTACCCAAGGAGGCATCAGCCAATGTCTATATTCATTATCATCATCATAACCAATCCACTCACCAGCACCATTTTCATCATTAATTACTTTCACTACCATGGCCTGTGAATAGCATTTCGCTGAGCACTAATGGAGAGGGACCACACTTGCATCCGGGCTGTGCTCGTGCAAATGTATTGGCATGGCATCTTGTGATTGGCCAGGGGCGATGATGGAAAGCCATCTACACCGGGGTTTTTTTTTTTGGTGAAAGTTCATTTTATTGACCGATAAAATGCTGAAATTTAAATTTCATGAGGGGCCAGATTTAAGCAACAGCAGTCTCTTCAAATTATATTCGTTGTTAATAGATTCTATTGTAATCGATTAGAAAAGAAAATTTAATCTAATAAGCTGACTCAGCCTATGCACTCGTTTTGGATTTTAATGTTTTTTTAATTAAAATAAATAAAACAAATGTTAAGCGGGGTACACACCCCAACGCCCCAAACAACCCATCTACCACTGCAAAATACCAAGAAACACCAACCCTTGAGATTGATAAAAGCGATGATAGCTCTTGAAAAACGGTGTTTGAACAATGTGCCGGAGAAACAGTAATGGGATTTGTATTTTTTGTGTGCCAAGATACTTCACAATGAGTACTGTACACAACACCTGAAATACCTTTAATTCGATGACATGAAACCCAATTACTCCATCTCTTCACTTGTTGTTTTCCAGAGATGTTATTTTTCCATTCATGTTATAAATACTGCATTTGGGTGACAGTGGTTCTTTAATTTAGAGATTCTCTTTCAAAGTGCTCTCACGTGGAAATATTGTACATTTAAGCACAGGTCTAGATGGGCTGCATCTGTTGATGTCACTACAAGAGCTGAGCCTCAATTGCTACTCATCAAGCTTTATCGAAACGAGTGGTTTTCAACATTTTTTGGCTACTGTACCTCTTGTTGGACTTTGTTCTAAATGAATAACCCCCTTGCCTGACCCAACATCGTTCTGAGAAATAAATGTTGGAATAATGAGCATCAATATTTTACCCACTTGTTGATTTTGTGAGGTATCCTAACTAGCGAGTAACTTCAAGTGAATAAAAGCAAAAATCAACGGACGCTCTGCATGTGCGACGTAATGTGTTCGTGCTCGCTGGTTACTCTTAGAAACCGCATTGTTTACGATCAATGAGTTTAGAAATGTATTTTATATCGTTCTAGGTTACCGTATGGATAAAAAATTATAGTAGTCATTTTATATTGGAAGATTCATACATTATTATTCACCAATGACTCATGCATGATATAATTTCACACATTGTCACGTACCCCCTGGCATCCGTGTACCCCCGTTTGAGAACCACTGCTCTAAACAACGTATGCTAGGGATGCTTTTCGGACTTTCACGTTTTAAAGGATAATTTTGGATATTTTTTTCAAATGGTAAGAAAAGCACACAAGTTACGTCATTCATGCTGACGGGGTCAATCTTAAACTAAATATGTTTTCGGATAATCCGAAATTTCCATATGTGGCCTCGATTTCCAGAATTTTCAGATCAATCCAAACATCAGGAATGCACGACTCGTGCACACCAATGTCAGCACTCGCAGAGCTGCACCACAGTGTCCCTTTGGTCGAATATCGGCAGAAAATGCCCATACCCTATCTGCATGCATGCCACGTGAATTACGACACTCTCTGATGCTACACAGTTTGGTTAATGGAGAGGTATATGCACCACTCTATGTTAACCGTTGATGACGGTAATACTAATTAGAGTTTTTTTACGTAGTTGCTTCATTTGGGGGGAATAATTATTGAAATTACACACCTCTGCTGACTGATTGTAGCTCTGTGATGCCCAAATTCTAAGTGAAGTAGAATTGCTCATTAGTAAAAAAAGAAATTACTTCACCAATGCAGTACAATTTTTTTTTAAATCACCTCCTGTGTTCTATTACGGATTGTGCTTGTTTTAAGACTCACAAACACAAAGATCCCCGATTTACCCTTGGACAGACTGTTGAGGCAAGGTACTGTTAGCGAACACTGATTTGGCCCCAGACGGCAAACGATGGGGTGGGTGGCCAAAACTATGACCGGCCACCTTTGTCTCCCGATTGCTGATGTTTTACACACTGCACCAGGTACTATTTTAAGGTCGAGTCGACCTAGAGGAGGCCCAGGACCACTTCAGATATTCATTACCGATGTTGGCTGTGAGTGGGAATCGACCCACGCACACATACACACACGCACAGGCGTTCAAATCTACTTGCACAGGTGCACACACGCATCCATACCATTTACAGCATGTAAAATAATACATACAAAGACAGATATTCCCCCAATGTTAGCGTATATAAACTATTGTGGCAAGTCCTGGTGTACTCAGAAAATGCATGACCAGTCATCTTTGATTCCCAAGTTGTGATGTCCAGACATTCCAACGAAAACCTTACATAAAAAGTGTGTTTTGAGACTCAGTGAGGCTTTTCTTCGTAAATCATAATTTGTTAACGAAATAACTTTTGTGGCTTGTGTAATGTCAGTTTCCAGATATTCTAGATTTCGTCAATCCAGAGGAATCCCAAAACCAAGTCGGCATGGTAGTTGTGCAAATCCAGTGCATTATTGAACCTGGGTCGCTGAGTGTTTGAAACACCGTGGACGCTAACCATTGCATGCTCGCGCAATGCAGGTGCGCGGGGAGATGAAGAAGCTGTGGTCACGGTGGAGCTTGAACCAGGCCCTCAAACGAAGGAGTGGGAGCTGCAGCTACAACATGGCTGCGAGCGTTGGCACCCTGAGCAGCGTGCGAGCCGTCGCTATCCCGTGCGCGGCGAGGGCGGCGAGGCAAGGTCTCACCCCGGAGAGGGATGCGACGATAGCTCTCATGAGAAGGCAGCCGCCACCCGACGAGCAGCGGGTTGTGGCCATCGCACAGCAACCGTACGACGAAGCGTTCAGAGAACTGTCACGGAGCATGCGCTTGTCAGACACAACCAAAGTGCTATGGGCCTCTATAGAGCCCAACGACCAGGTGTCCACCAGTCTGGAAGCTGACCTGAGAGCACCATCCTTTCAGGGTTCAAGACTTGCCAGTGGTTGTTCTAAAACCGAGGATAACCAAGCCGTCGAAGCGTGTGGATGCTCTTCCTTCGGGGAGACGTCTCAAGGTGCCGCAAAAGCCCCCGATGAACAAAGTAATGCAGGCGACGGGTTTCAACCCAGTCCTCGGCCTCGGCAAGCCTTGAGCACCTGCGTTCAAAAGGAATTATGCCCCGCGGCATCTCCTGAGCCGTGGAACTTGCCAGGATATGTCACGTACAGTTCGGAAGTGGAAAAGAATTTCAAGGTTATCTCGCTTAGCCCTTGCTGTCAAAATCCATCGCAGCCTGGCAACAAAGGCAACCAAAAAGCCGGAGACTATGAGTGGCCAGTGATTACAATTTTAAAGGATGAGGGAATTATGTGAATACAAATGCTGCAACTTGTGCATAAGGGAGCTATTGAGCATAGGTAAGATGAATGTCGGTTGATGGATTAGGTTTAGATGTTCACAATTGAACAATCTATATAAAAAGAAAACTGAAATTGATATGGTAACATTCCTCTACTATCGTGACTCTTGATATGTTGTGGCTAGTAGTTTGTTAATTGCGTACTGTTTTACAGCAGCAGCATTTTACTTGCATTTCGTTTATCGTGATAAATTCTTGATGTAAACCAATTGTTAACGATATACGCGTTTCATGTTAAATGTTTTATAATGCAAAAAGGATCTGCTGGGACACCTAGATTGGGTTGAGGTGATCGTTTTTAACAGCATTTGTGACCGTATGTATTAAATAGAATTGATATGGTATATTCTGAAATGAGGGTAAAACTATTCAGTGCTTAATTTTCAGACTTCTATTTTGTGCGTGGCTTTTGTTTCAACTGTGTCACAAGTCGCATTAAATTAATATTTCTGTAGATGTATTCAAATGAAAAACACACCACACTTTTGTTTGCCAGGCCAGTTGCTTCTTTTGTTTGCATTTTTGACTACTTGTGTTGTGGTTATTGCAAACATGATGCCTTGTATAAAGGTGTCAGTTTTGTACCAGTTTAAAAGGGTAAAAACCTACTACTAAAATTGTATTATGAAATTAAACCAGAAAGCCCACTAATGCCTTATTAATGAAAATAAATTACTAAAACAATTGCAAAGAAGGAATCAGTCAATTGGAATTGAATCAAGATTAGATGCTGGCAGGAGCAAAAAGCAAAGCACAAGAGAAAGTGCGGCAGGCAGATACGATCTCACCAAAGAAAATTCACAGGAATACTTGAATACATTTGCTTAAAATAGGATTGGGGGAAATAAATGCATAATGAGCCTCGGTGAACACATTTAATAATTTTGGAATGGCTGACGACATATCTTCTCTTACCTATACATGTCATTGTTTGTCTGTCTGTGTGTGTGGCCGAAACATGCGAAGGATTTGGCTCGCAAACCGTGGGGTTGACGTTTTAAAAAAAGTCGCCAGGTAGCACGCCATAAGCCCCGTGCTGAGACAGCGCTATTCCGATTTCGCATGTCACCTTTAAAGTAGTTAAATTCGCGATTCAGTGCTGTTTTCGGTTACTTATTTAATACATTGCTCATGCTCGACCCCCACCAACTCACACGCGTTCGGTGGGGGTGAGGGGAATTCTCGTTCGTGTGGACACTGCGCAAGGTAACACACACAGATTTACAGCTCCCTTCAAACATTTATTACCATGACTGTTTGCTCATTACAAATAGCCTTTTATAGGTTACATTTCATGACAGGGAATAACCAGTGTTTATGACAGTTACCCGAAGTAACACGATTTTTCTCCCCGACTACCACTATCGTTGCTTTAGCGACCACGTCTTTACGTGAGGCCATGCCACTTATGCACACGTTTTCTCTTTGAACATAGGTACATTTCTAAATATCACTGTCCTGTTCACAAAAAAACAGGTTTGAGGGGAAGAATAGCCTTTTTCTGTACTCTTGAGGCATAACCAGCCACGTAATATCACTTACTGCGCAGGGGTACAGTAATAAATATAAATATACTCATTGCTATTACGTCTTCATTCTATCATATTTACACTTGTCCCGTCCGTACGGGGGTTGAGCAGTGACGTTATGTCAATGACGCTTGATTGGTGCCCATCTGCTCATAGTTACAGGTAGGTTAGGTTCATTTTGTATTCGTTGACTTTCATTTATTTGCCGCTCTTACTCGCGGTAAGCGTTTGTACCAAAATGGCGGAACACCCTCGTGGTCGCTCCAAATTACTTACTAATTATACACACGTGCATTTCCCCTCTCCCTTGCTTCTTTCGCTTAAGTCACGTACATAGAAAAGTATTCTTTCCAAACTTATTTAGTCTATATAAAAGTCGGAGTGTGTACGTCCATGTGTGCGTGTGAGTAAATGTATGTGTGTTCGTTGTGTCTGTGCGAGACCGTGTGTGTGTGCTTCAATGTGTGTGTGAGTCAATATGTGTGTGTGTGTGACAGTCGCTGTGTTTGTTTGTGTACGTCCATGTGTGTGTCTGCGGTGTGTGTTTAAGTCGATGTGTTTGTGTGTGTGTCAGTCTTTGTGTGTGTGTAAGTCCATGTGTGTGTGTAAGTCCATATGTGTGTGCGTGGTTCCATGTGCGTGTGAGTCTATGTATGTGTGTGTTTAAGTCGATGTGTTTGTGTGTGTTAGTCGATGTGTCTGTGTGTGTGGGTCCATGAATGTCAGTATATGTGTGTGTGTACGTCGAAATGTGTGTCTGCGTGAGTCCATGTGTGTGTGAGTTAGTCGATATGTGTGTTTGTGTAAGTCCATATGTGTGTGTAGGTCGATGTGTGTGTGTGCGTCGCTGTGTGTCTGTACATCGATATATGCGTGTGTAAGTCGATGTGTGTGTGTTAGTCCATGTGTGTGTGTGTGAGTCATGTGTGTGTGTGAGTTGATGTATGTGTGTGTGAGTCGATGTGTGTGTACGTCGATATGTATGTGAGTCCATGTGTGTGTGTGTGTGTTAGTCAATATGTGTGTTTGTGTAAGTCCATATGTGTGTGTGTAGGTCGATGTTTATGTGACTATGTATGTGTGTTTAAGTCCATTTGTGTGTGTAAGTCGCTTTATGTGTGTGAGTCGCTGTGTGTCTGTACATCGATATGTGCACGTGTAAGTCGATGTGTGTGTGTTAGTCCATGTGTGTGTGTGAGTTCATGTGTGTGTGCGTGTCGATGTGTGTAAGTCCATATGTGTGTGTAAGTCGATGTTGATGTGTGTAGATCGATGTGTGTGTGTGAGTTGCTATGTGTGTGTGCAAGTCGATGTGTGTGTTTGTGGGTCGATGTATGTGTGTGTGAGTCGATGTATGTGTGTGAGTCGATGTGTGTGTGTGAGTCGCTGTGTGTGTGTGTGCGTGGGGAGAGGTAGTGTAGCGGTTAGCACGCTGCGCTATAAACCTGGCCACCCGAGTTCGATTCCTGCTCACGGCCAACACCAGTGACAATTATCTGAACCTGTCCCGGCCCTCCTCTAGGTCGACTCAGCCTAAAATGAGTACCTGGTGTGGTGTGTAAACATCGTCAGGGCAACGCCGGGTACTTCCCGCTAGTAGTCACGAAAGCAAACAATGATAATTAATCAAAGTAAAGAATTTTACAAATATGGCTGCGAAGTTGAACTGTAGGTAAATGTGCAAATCAAAGTAATGTTATAATGACAAGTTTAACTTAAATTGACTTTGTCATGACTTTTTCATTTTATAACTTTTTCATTATGCTGTATCGTCATTATAACAACAACATACGGTATGAAATATAACAGCAGAACATGTATACTTAGGGCAATCACTGAAGCCAGCTAAAAATCAAAGTGACTTAATCAAAAGGGGAATAAGAGGAACCTACAGTGCTTTTAAGAAGTGGAACGTGATCACTTAAAGCAGTGTACCAACGTGCCTGTTTTCAATCAATTAATTTTGCCAGAAATTACACTGATAAGAAAAATGGATGCGTTCAAAGAAAATTGAAAACTTAAAATTGTGCAAAGAAGCATGGAGCAATGCATGCTTGGGAATCCAGAGACTTAAGACTTAATTTTAGCTGGTTAAGGCCCATTGACCACCGCCTAAGACCATCGGCAGTGGTGGCGGATACAGGAAATTGCAAGAAGGGGAATGTACAAACTAACAAGAGAAAAAATCAACATTTTATATATATACTAGCTGTACTACCCGGCTTCGCCCGGGACTTGTATCTACCACGGCCGGCCGCCTTTGTCTCCCCAGTGGCGATGTTAATACGCTACAGTAGTTAAGTTACTCGTTTGAGGCAGAGTCGACCTAGGGGAGGTTCAAATAATCGTCACCGGTGGTGGCCGTGAGCGGGAATCGAACTGGGTTTGCCGGGTTGGTAGCGCAGCGTAGCGTTAAGCACTACACCCACCGCTCCTCACACACCACACACGCACAGACACACACACAGACACACGCAGACACACACAGACAGAAACACACACACAGACAGCACGCTAACCACTACACTACCGCTCCCCACACACCACACACGCACACACACAGACACACACACAGACACACACACAGACACAACAACAACAACAACCGCCATTCGCCACTAAGTGGCGGTGACGTCACCACGATGCTTGTGCCAGGCCAAGTGCACCTTGAGGCCACGTGAAGTGTCGAAAGCCCGCTGGCAGGAGGTCACGGGGCAGACCCAGGTGCCACTGGTCGACTGACCGAGATGACCGAGATGACTGGCTGATGCACCACCTGTGCCCCCTACTGTGCCAACTTGCTGTGCTTTAGCCACCCGGCGCTCCGCTCGTTGTTGTGAGCGTCGCTCCTCCGCCCTCCGTTGTTGTTGGAGGGCGACTGCCTCCAACTGCCCAGTAGCGTCCTTCACGAGCCTCCTCCACTGAGGCCGATCTTGACACCGCTGGTACCAGTCATCGGCAAGTCCACTCAGCTCCACGTCCTCCTGTACCACATCACTCCATCTCTTCTCCAGCCCGTGCCGCGCCCGTCTAGCCCCCTCGATCCGGCCGAACAAAAGCTGTTTAGGCATGCGGTGGCTGGGCATGCGGGCTACATGACCCAGCCAACGCAGCCTTGCCTGCCGGAGGAGCTCACTGATGGGACTTTGCCCAGATCTTTCAAGGATTTGTGAGCTCCTCACACAATCCAGCCTGGTTAAACCCAGGATGGATCGTAGGCAGGCCAGCCTAAATGTTTCCAACCGGCGAAGATGCTCCACCAGGGGGGTCCACGTCTCGCAAGCGTAGAGAAGGGAGGGAATGACCGTGGCCGAGAAGACCTGAAGCTTCGTGCGGAGCGACAGACCAGGTAGCTTCCACACAGCGTTACGCAACCGATGAAAAGATATTGCCGCTCGACTGATTCGGAGTGAGACCTCTGCTGATAGACTGGAGCCGGTCATAAGCACACTGCCCAGGTATGGGAAACTCTCCACTCTCTCCACAACTGCCCCATCACCAATTGGGAGTTGTGGGGGTGGAGTGTCCGATGGTACAAAATACCCAGGCAGGTGCTTGGTTTTGGTGGGGCTGATGGTAAGGCCCCACCTCTTAGTGGCACGCTCCAGTCTCAGCAGCAGCGCCTCCAACTCCTCTTCTGAATGAGCAGCTATTACCAAATCATCGGCATACATAACGTGGTTGACCAATAGGGAGCCATCCCTTGATCGCACCCGGGCGTCGATCAGCCTCCCATTATATCTGTACCAAACGGAAATTCCCCCGGTACAGCTATTGAAGGCTTCACGAACTACGCGGTCAAAATAGATGTTAAATAATGTGGGAGCCAGAGGACATCCCTGTCGCACCCCAAGGTGTACAGGGAAAGGCTCCGACTCCCGGCCACGTAGTTTTACCCGGGCCCGCTCACCATCATGAAGGTCCTTAATGATCGTGAGCAGAGGGTCAGGGACTCCGAAAGCACGA